TTTAAACGGAGACACAGACATATTTAACTTGCAAGCATTTACTGGGTAGCATGCAAGGAAGAACAGAGTGTGGAGATATCGTCAGCCTACGCCAACTCACTGAGCCATTCATCCGGGCATAACTAGAGAGTTTTCAAGCGCCCTGTCTAAGATAACGAAGTTGAACTAAGCGAAGTTGAACAAGAAACGTGGTGAAAGGCAACCCTCTGTCGTGCCAGTGGTACTACCAAAAGGCACCAGTAATCCGCAGTAAACTTGCACTTGGTCCGAGTTTCGACAGTAAATTGTTTGCAAGAAATTCGCGTACTTTCCAAGCACCCACTCCCAAAAAAACAAATGTATAGGGCAGCATGATCAACGGAGACCAATACAACGCGTATGTGCAGAAAGCAATGGTAGGTCACTGAAAGCTCGACGGTGCTTAGGTATCTAGTGTATCATAAAGAATTGATCAATGCAGCCCCGACTTAGGCGAAACCCAGACTGTTCTTCACCTATGTGCTATTTACGTGCTCGACTGAGTCTCCGTAAAAGCAGGGTGGCTAGCACTTTGGACGCGACGCATGGGGTGTTGGTCGCTCGGTGGTTTGCGCAATCCTGTTAGTGAACCCCATTGCAGAGGGGCGCGATGCCCGCTAAGCTGCAGTCAAAAGTGCTACATTCAGTGGTCCAGATTTCTTGAAAGAGAACAGCCAATGCAAAAAAGAGCGCTGGGCTACTATGCTTGAAAACCGCCCTGAGAAATTCGGCGAAATCAAGCAATTTACAATACTTTAGAGTATGAACCTCATGGGCAACCTCAGCGTCAGATGGTGGAGATGTGCTAACATACTGGAGAACACCGTGAGTACAAGAATGGCATTCTTGTCCAATGCTGGCCAGCTGAATTGCTGTTCAACATGTCCTGCTTGACATACAAACGGGTGATGACGATCGTGAATTGATTCAATGCATACAGTTAGCTTCTTGCCATTAATGGATCGAAAAGGAGAGAAAAGTCTGTGGAAGTTCCGTGCGGACTCAGTAAGGTCCATCTCGCAGATGCTCTGCGTCCACAAGGCTTCACCATCTTCTCTGATAAGCTATTTGAGCTCAGCATTGGTGGCTCTGCGCAATTAGTTTTACTCAACTACAGCAGGTGGTGTCCGGCGTTCGTCAGTCGAACGGATCGAGTGGACATCCAGCGGCTAATGGGGTGCTTAGTGGAGCAGCAGATAACGCTTGTAGACTTGTGCACGGGGCTCCAGGCCTGTCCAGTATGCTTACACATATGAGATTGCAGGGCTCTTCAGATTATAAATTAACGAATTCTGAAAGGCATTGATACTACTGAAAGTGATATTTTGGCTACCTCAAGCCAGTTCCGACGACGATGTTGGATGTATCCGAAGAGGAAGACAAATCTAACGTATGCAGGAGCGTGACTAGAAGTTAGAAAATACTTCAAACTGGTTTGAATCCGTTATACAGTCTCCCCGATGGTAACTGGTAACAAGTTGATTAGGTTGCGTTCAAAACTGTCCAGGCGAAGAAGATCGACAGATAACATTCTGGCGACCGGAGCGCAGAACGTTTGCGCTCGATAGCAATAAGCCGTGATCAGCAAATATATCTAGAAGACGACCTCTGTTATTTGCCCTGCGCATGCTATGGCCAGGTAGGATACCGAGGTCGTGTTTAGCAGTGTAAAGTCTACCGATCTGTGCTTTTAACTCCCAAACGAGTGCCACGATATCCGTGCACTGCTTCTTATAGAGAATTTCGGCGAGTAACGGTAAACGCACATTTGACTAAGTCCGGGTTGTAATCCATATCAGCAAGCGCCGCTACGACAAACAAACAGCATTTGATAGACTCGTAGCTGGACAATGGTACTGAGCTTTTTACCTATTACCATGTGTCTGTTATTTTCCGGTATCCAATATTGTGGCCCTGCTTGTGAGCGCTCAATTAACGCTCTATCCACACCATTCTCGTCCGCAGCCTCAACAGTTTTATCCCCAGATAAGCGTCGTGTGAATGTGCCATGGGAATACACAGAAGGGAATCTCAAATGTAGGGTTGTGCGGGGGTCTTGTAACCAGGTCCCAGCAAGCCAAGATATCGATGTCGAGTGTCTCTACCATGCGTGTAAGAGCAGCATGCGAAACAATCTGTTTTAACGTCTGGCCATTGAAAGCGGCCAGTTTGTAGTAGTAATGTGGGACTAAAAAACTTCCAGTTTTCACTGCTGAGTGATACATGGGTGGATTTAAAGTGCTCATCGTAGCCGTTAGAACTGTCCTTTAAAGGCCGCACGTTGTCCAGCAACCAAGAATGATTGAATTTAGTAACTGCAAAAAACATGTAGTGAGTTGTGCAGTAGAGCATGGTTTTGTGTATCCGACTGCCAGCATTTTGGCCGAGGAAATCGACAGAAGCGAAAGCAGTTAGAGAGCAGGGTAACGTACATTTCCGTTTCTGCGCATCAGGAGTAACTGTCTTTCAGGTTGCCCTGGACATAGAAAAGGTTCGATTAGCTGAATCTCACCCAGGTTGTAAAGACCTGACTTTCAAGGCAGCAAAGCGATTGGCGTACATCGCAAACCGTCGGGAGACGGTAACACGACTTTCAAGTAGTGTTGAATTACTCATGGTACGAGATCAGCCCAGTATAGCCGCCTATGGGTCAGAAAAGGTTTCCTTGAACCTCCAACCTACCGCTTAATACCATGACAGTTGACAGCTGAGGGGCTCAAATGCCTTCTTATTGTTCGGTAACAATTCACATAGAAGCCAGTGGCCAACAAGGTTGTGCATACACCCACCGGTAAATAATCCTCTCTGATTACAGAAGTAACTGGTCTGTCAGTCACACTAACTGTGACGCAGCGCCGTACTAGCTGCTATGATATCTAATGAAAAATCACATGATCGGCACAAAATTTGCCACACTCTAAGACGCTGCTGCTGATTGTCCGCGACTTCTTATTTACCTCGACTGTAAAGCAAACGAGACTTATTCACTGTGACCTCCACAAGATGGGCATTGCACGGTCTGCACTGGGGGGGCACGCTGGATCGTGCACAGTTCAGCCATTAGTCCAGGGAGAAGCTCCACAGCAAATTTGTGAACAGCAACCTCAGTCCGGGGGTTTAGAGCACTACTCAGACCAGATGGACTGAATTACAAAACTGTGTTATCTCCGTATATGCATGGTGAGAAAGTTCTATCATTGTCAACTTAAGAGATTTTAGATTATGCACAGAACAGAAGTCTTTCAGGCAGGTTACCTATAAGCAATAGATTTCGATCATAAGGGTCTCTGATAATCGGCTAAATGCTGCCTGTAATAACGTGTGCATGTTAAGGCATACCAGTATTAACTAAACAAATAAACAAATGCTTTATTTTCAGACAATGCGAAGCATACTTGTATAGGCCTGATCATGGTGAGGATATGGGGTTCTAAATATAAGCGAATAAACTAGGATTATCCACTTGAATGGACATGGACTAGTCGACTGGACGGGATCGAGGCCCTGCGATTGAGTGTGCGTCAAAGCTAGAGGACAAACGACGATTGAGGTAAGATAGGGCGGGCGAGGAATTACGGAGTTGCAAAAAAGGGGCTTGGCGAGAAATCAAACCCAAAGATAAAAGCGCGAATGGGGAAGAGGAGAAGCAAATGGGCGGGAAGGCGTGCGAAGTAACATTCTCATCCCCATCTACTCTATACGATCAGCAGATAGGACACCGTTGATTATTCTTTTCGATGCCCAAAGCATCATTAAACGGTATGACAAGGAGAAAACTACCTTTTTCTTCAGAAGAACCCTGGGCTCAGTTGTGCGTGAAATAATGAGTACCGCAGAGGAGGCGACGTAAACCGCAACATTAACGGAAGCAACTTATACTTTAGGTTATACACATTTAAACGTTAGAAGACAATTGGTGCAACGAAATTTCTTTTCGATAGTTCTAATCAGCGGTGTATGATTATGGTGTTAATAATCAAATGAGCATTACGCTATTTCTAACCAGTATTTCCACGCTAGTAGGAGAAGTGTGCATGGGTTCAAATCAAACAAACTACAACGGGTCAATTGTCTGAAGTTCACCTGACTAGGTTAAGCTCATGGCAATACAATGGCTTGTACCACGGTCTTCCGCTTGTACAGTTCTGGCTGCAGCCCTCTGATTACAATACCTTCAGACGTAGTCAGCAAATAACTTTTGGGCAATTTTGGGGTCCGCTTCGGTACAGGGTGGAAAAATTCAAAAGAGTCCTTATCTCTTACTTCATGTCCGATGTTAAGTAGGTGTTCTATGAAGTAGCTCTGGATATTCTTTACCGTACTGTGCTGCACTGATGCGTGGCTGTATTTAGTCATCCTCTTCTATCAACGTCTGGTCGTATGTCCAATATACCTAGCACCACAGGTGTAGGTGAACTGATGTATAACAACAAAGTTGGACTCAACCGGAAGACGACCGTTGAGGCGCTGCGTAGTGAAAGAGGCCGTTTCAGCAAGAATGTGGAATCGTTTTGTCGAATAAGTTTGCTTCACTGCGGTTGACACCATTCTGCAAATTACCTCGCAGAGACGTCTCCCTTGAGAGGGACTGAGAGAAATACATCCTTCTTTCTGACACTCACCATAAAAGTAGAGTGATCGCGGACAACAGAATTCATTTTGATGAAAGCAGCCAGATAGCCGTTGGTTTCTAGCGTTCTCTGAAGGAAATAACTCTTCATCCAACGTTTCTGTGCTGCAGACTTTTGTAGTACTATAGTATGGAGTACGCACTAGGTTTCATTTGCATTTCATAGTAACGAAACTATGCAAGTGCATGCACTGGCCAACTCTCTTTTATCCGGGTCTAGTTATGTAACCCGGTATTTGCGAAGAGACAATAAAAGTTACTCTGATTAACGCTCAAAGATAACAATGTCCATAGCCTTCTCACACAGGCTAGTTCATTTGGTACACAGCACTAAAAATCCGTGTGAACTTACTTGGGCGAATGAATTGAACAGTTGAGCGCTGGTCGGTTCATCACCTGGAAGCTCTTTAAGCACAATGGACTGGTAGATATAGTACAAACACCAACCAACGATTACGGGATAATAGACGCTGAAAATTAAAACATGAAACTACGTATTAGAGTGGAACAGGATGCCTGCAATTCATATGTGTCCAAGACTTTATAGTAGTAACCGCGCGGTTTTACCTCCAGAATATAGGGCTATGTTAGTAAATGGGTGAATATTGTGCTCGAACACTGCGTCATATTTTATGTAAAACTCCCAGTTGCAGTAGTGCATGAGCAATTATTTGCCACATATTCGACAGAATATTTTAGTAGAGCCGCAATGCATGTATATCATCGGTGGTTTGTGTGTTACGAACCGCTAGAATCCCGTTACAAATGAAGAGTCATCAGCTGATAGTAACAAGCAGTGCGTTGGATTAGTTGAAAGTTGGAAATAGGTGCCAGAAAGCGAAGGGCGCAGTGTGTTCAGCTGGGTTGCGGTTATATCAATCAGTTAACGCAGTCTAAATGACGAAATTCTGTCGAAAAGGGCTAAAACTACTATACGACCAAAATGTATGACAAATGCTGGGGTGCTTTAAATCAGCCGCATTGAACACGTAACAAGAATGCTCTTGAATGATTTCATAATATTATGATGCCGATTTGAATGGAGCAAACGGTACTACCTGATTAAGAAGAGCGTTCCAACGAGCCACGCACCCAACCAAATGAAACGTTTTCCAACAAACTTTTGAAACGCCGGAAGAGGGGAATTTTTGGTGAATCGTCCCACGGCGTACTCGACTAGCACCACCGGTACCGACCAGAGAAACAGGAGGATTATCCACACTATGTAGAAGGTTAGAGAACCTGTGAAAGAGCGAAAATACAGTAGTTTGTTTCACTGCAGCTGCATAGATACCTTTTATGCATAAGAGAAACTGTACTATATAGCGTGCAGCGAATCTCGTGTGGTTGCAGGTTCGGCAAAGTAATACTTTTCAGGGAGGATAATACCACCAGCTAACCTGGTGTACGCACTTGTAATTGTTGTCACGATATTCTGCTAATGCCTTTTGGTAATCATTCACATAATACAGTAAATGGTACTAAAAGTTATTCGGAAAGTGTTCCAATGCTTGTAATTAAAAAAAACATGAAAAATCGAAACAATTGCGTTGTATCACAAACTAGTCTCTCTGTCGACCACATAAGTCCCTACTACGTTTTACCGAAGGAATGTGAAGCAAAAGTATTTTTTGTTGAGCGTTCGTCGCATCAACTTTTCACTCAGATGGTCGTTCACATGGCCGAAAAACTCCTAGACTGCAGTTTCAACCTGTTTGGTGTCATGAGTAGTGCGCATGGAATGGGATCCATCAGGATTCGAACCCATGACCACCAGCGGATTGAACAGCTAGACGGCAGCTTATGCCACTATGCTGCGGAATGACATGATTTGTAAGCTAAGTGCGATATAGAGCGTCTTATCCTACAGTGCCGTGCAAGTTACGAATGTTGCAGAGGACAGGGTTGGTCACGAAAGACATGACTTCCACTGAGAGTAGCTATGTACGACATAGCATGGCCACGATGACCGCCGTTGTTTATGGGTTCGAATCCTGATGCATCCGGTGGAATTGCACTACTGTTGATGCTTGACAGGCTAAAACCGCAGTCTAGTGCAATTTCAGGCATGTTAAAGATTATCTGTTTTGTAAGTTAGTGCGAGGAACTCCCAACAAATTACATCCAAAATCCCCTACTCATGAGTATCTCAAAAACTATATTGTCTATAGGACTCGCACAGACATTGAGTACCATAGTTGTTAGAGTGGTTATGCGTTGGAAAGGCGTCTTGCGACGCACTGTTTTATCGTCAACAGTTCCAAATCTCCAGAAGCGTTAAGTGTTCAGTCGACCAGTTCCGATATTACCGAACACAGTTTACAATGTGCTGCATCAACCACGCAGCTTACGCAGAAGGGGCGGACAGTTGATTGGATGTGACCGAATCAACTGATAACCTGGGCCAGTCCAAGCGATCATGTTGTGAGAGTTTGGGTACAGTCTCAAACAATTTCAACCTTCTTACTATTGTTAGCGCATTTGTGAGGAAAGGTGCTCAATGTTAAGCGATGTTTCTCGCTCAGAGATGTAACGATTGGTAGACTGGCAAGTTCCGGACGAATTTCACATCTAAATAATCTCCACGCATATGTACTCTAAAAACGGAAAATTAAAATGTAAGACAATGTACCTTTTGAGTAGCTCTGGGTAGCCAAAATTCGTGGGAATCGCCAGATATTTCCTGTTCCAACTGCGCCACCAAGACAAGCGATCGCAGAACCCAAAACGGAACCAAACGAGGAGCCCCCTTCCTTTACGGAACTTAGTTCTGAATCCTCAACGGTCCGTTGGCTTGCATCATCCTTGTAAGAACATTTAATAAAACAAATTTATCACATACGGATTTTGAGCAGAAACATATAAATGTAAGTGGTAACTCACAGAGAGACAGAACCTGTGGCGGGGTGCACGAAGGTTGCGATGCTTCATCATCCCAGCCTAAAAAATTTAGCAACACATGCTTTTTGACACTATATTGGATCGCAAATAGCGACTTGATAGTTTACACGCGCAATGCTTTAAAACTTGTGCCTGTTATTGCGGAGATGTTGTTCCCACTTTTCCCTTGTCAAGCTATACGACATAATGAAGCGTAGAAAGTAGAGGCATTGGTGTTTTACTAAAGCACCATGCAGAGTGGGGTGTTGCATTGCGAATAAAAGTCTCGGAAATATGAGCACACCTACTTTATCAGGGCTAATATCCGAGTGCTAGTTGGAAACTCAGAAGATCTCAAAGCCCGTGAATATTATCACTTAGGCATCATTGTGCTACAAGAAACCCGGCTTCATTCATACATTTAAAACGCAAGTGTGGAACTTGACAGATTTACCTTCCATCGTGTTGACCGCCTACGTACCAACTGGAACCGTGGTGACGATGTTATCACCCACCTCAACTCATCATGGTGGGCGAGGACGAAAAGAGTATTTTATCGCTACAACTTGCAACGCATCAGCTGTTTACACGTGCAAATGCAAACCAAGGTACCTGAAATGCCATCGCTCAGTTTGGTCAGATAGCTTCTGTATTTCCTCTAGTTGTCCCATCTTTGGGACAGCTTTACCGCTGTTGTCCCAAAGTACTTGAACTTCTCTTTGTACATATTTGCTGGCGATTTAAACACGTCTGACACCGGATTCTTTGCAAATCTAGGGCTTAAGAACCTTTTGTAATCACCAACTACGTTAACGACAATCACAGACAAGACACTAGTTAGCAAATTTAAAAATAGTTTCTCTCTGTAGTAGGGCACTGACTGAGAGCTGTGATCATACCGTTATAAAGCTGTCCTTGTTTTCTATGACAAATGGAACTGAAGCAATTGCAGCCGTTGCAAAGACCGTATGTTCAAACAGAAGCAACGTTTTCCGCAGAACACTGAGAGGCTGATAGTAACTATTGCCTAAGCAGAGTTTACTTTATCTTATGACGCAGACGTATCGAAGTATTGTGATCAGTTACCGTATCACTTAAAGTTCTGCTTCAACATCTACTGTCCAGTTGAAGCAGTTTTCATTCGTGCAGGCAGGTACTCTTCAAAATGCGTTAAACAGCTACCTAGGATCGGGGAAAAAGCGTTCTCAATCAAAGACATGAAGCAAGGAAGGTACATGTCGACAGCCACAAAGACGGAACTGCGTCGCCTCAGCCGTATATACCTTCAAACGAGAATGGGAAACAATATATGAAAGGGGACAAGCAGCAGCCGAAGTAAGAACGACCGTTCGGTAAACAAACTACTGTAATCTGTGTGAGTACAAGTAGGGGAACAGGTGAAGAATGAAGCAGTAGGGAAGCAGTTAAACGTTTACGTGGATGTGCGTGTTTCGTGTTATCGGCATTTAGGCAGCGTGTGTGTCCGTACCAGCGCCCACGGCTTGGCTGAAGGTATGGAGGGAATACACAGTATCACCTCCCCGCTTAGCCATGTGGGGTGCCAAAACTATTTCGATTCCATGATCTTGTTTCGCCGCCTGTTAGGCGTGTCTTTTTGCTGCGTTTAGTTTCGTCAACACAGGTCGCTGGCATTTGCTCCGTTCGTCTGCTACTTATGAATAACCTTTGTGTATTGCTTGCGCAGTCCTCTTCCAGCCGATAAGTGCTTGGCACAGATACACGCATTATTCTTATTGGATCTGCTAACGTGGGCTTTCCTTTTGTCGCAGAGGTTAGCTTCCCTGGCGTAAATGTTCCTGGCTAGATCGAAATACAAAGCTTCCGGTAAGTGGTCTGATCCCGACGGCGACGATCTAGCTCGTCGGAATTATTAGTCACATCGGAGGCGCGGCATACAACTTTATCCGAATGACACGCCAAAGCATGAGTTCAGCTGGCTTTTTGACTGTGACTCGGTTTTGTGCGGTTCGGTAAAAAACAGTGTTTGTAAAACTGCGTCTGCCCAACCTGTCACAAACAAACAAATAGCTTGGATACTCTGTCTCAAGGGTCGATTGCAATGCTCTACCATGGCGTTTGCTACTTGGTTATCCGGAGTTGTAGGTGTGTATCGGGTGGCGTGAAGTTGGAGAAACAAAAGAAACTCGTGGCTTGTAAATCGCGGGCCGTTGTCCATGAGTATCTTCTCCGGTAGTACGAAGCTGGAGAACATGAATTTCAGCCATTGAATAATGCCGGCAGTAGTTACCTCTCCGCACAAACATACTCTTGGCCATTTACTGTAAAGACATGTCACCACCAAATAGTTCCTTTGATGTCACTGAGCTGAATGGACCCATGTTGTTAAGAGGTATCACGGAATACAGTCGCATAAAATAATCAATGGGTTCTATAGCGGAGGCCAGTTGCTTTGAAGTCTTGTCCGCCCTTTGACATATAAAGCAGCTATCAACATGCTCTTTTATTGCGACATTTTGGGACACCGGAAACATGCGTCAATCTTGTTTTACGTAGGAGCGGTGCCAGGATGGCCTAAGTGAGCACATCATGCTCTTTTGCATCAACCATCTCCGAGGAGCAACAGATTTTGCATCGTGCATTAAACATCCATCTATAAATAAAAGTTCGTGACGCAACACGTAGTACGGGCGAAACTGGCCTGCTATTTCGTGGTCAGCCGTTCAACAGAAATCCAAGAACGCGGCACTGTGTCGACTTCCTGAGTCACATTCTGAAATTCTTCCTTCGTCAGAGTTGGGTTTGTTTCATTGCTCAGGGAAGAGAACAGTAACCGCTTGTTGGCATCATCGTTACTTTTACTTTAGTCGAGTGACAGTCGAAAGAGCCCATTTACGGCCTCGTTTTCACGCCAGGGATGTAATTTAAGCTGAAAATCGTATGTTAACAAGTGTGCATACCAGCGATGTAACCGAAGTAGTCTGATGCCATTTTTCACCCAAGTTAACTAGTTAGCACTGTGTGGTCTGTACGAAGAGTGTGAGGTCTTCCGAAAAAATGAAAACTCCGCTTCTCACAGGCTTAACCACAGGCAATGGTTTTTTCCAGGAAAGGTAAGAAAGTTTTGCAGCTGACAAGTTTCTGGAAGCGTATGTAATAACTCTTTCATGCGCATTCTGAATTCGGGATAGTATAGCACCCAACTCGAGGTTTGAGGCAACAGTAGAGACAATCATGTGGCACGTCTCATCAAAAATCTTCATGACCAGTGTGGTAGCTACGCGACGTTGTAGCTCGTCAAATGCTGTCTTTTTGGTGGTGACCCCCAAACAAACACACAGATATTTCTGTGGGGATTAGAATTTGGTAGGCGAGTGATTGATCTTGGCAAACTCCTGGTTGTACACAGCGAATAGGGCGAGCAACAAAACTGTTTAGAGTTTCAGATGGTTCCAGTGTAAGGCGGCCAAATATGAGTCGAGTCATTAAGAGGTATGTACGCTGGCCCATAACTTACCCGGCACATCTAGTGCTTTCGTTAATGTGTCTTGAGACTGAAGATCCAGGGCATCCGATTGACTTTGTACCTCATCATAGAGTAGCTGTCTGGGAAACTTTGGTTTCTAGCATCATGTGTAGTTAAAAGCTGCAGGTAGTAGGTCAAGATAACTTGTAAAATATGGTTTCCACTGAGTAAATGCACTTTTAATCGGGTTTAAGGTCGGATCAGACCATTAAAAAGGAAGAGGATGTGACTGTAATTCCATGGCCTAAGTTTGTAAGCCGCGACGTCAGTGTTGTGTGAGAAAGGGCACACGCACCAGTCGGAGTAAAATCGACCGTTCAGTAAACAAACTACTACAACCTGACAGGTGTCTACCCATGGTGAGTACAAATAGGGAGATATGTGGAGAAAGAACGAATAGGGAAACAGTTAAGGGTGTGCGAGTGTTTGTGCGTGTCTGGGTTATGTGCACGTAGGCAATGGGTGCTCAGAACAGCGCCCACGGTGTGGTTGAACGTATAGTGTGAATACACAACAATGCTTACCAAAAAACAGAAAATTCTATAAGCTTACTTGTAGCCACTCCCGAGGCCACGCATGCTACTCTGGATTTGGAGGAATTAAACCTTAACTTTTGTGACCAAAACCGCAGTTCTGTCTCTGATATGTTATCAGTTAAGTTAAACTTCCATAAGAAAACAAAGCTTCTGTTACCCCCCCCCCCGCCCCACCCCCCCCACGCGCCGAAAAATCCCAAAAATCTTGCCAAGCGAACGAAAGCAAGCAGCGCCTCTTACTCCAAATATAAATAGTTTTTCCTGGTCCAAAAACACTATTACTAGTCATGATCGATGGTTTCTTTTCTTTCTTTGGTGCGGGTTCCGAGAACATTGCGTTTCCTTTCTTTCCCCTGCCCCTTGTTCCCCTGTTTCCCTTTGCTTTCTTTCCTGTCTGTTTCTTTCCCCTCCCCTTTCCCCCCCTTTCTCTTTCCTTTCTCCTTCTCCTGTTTCTGGTTGCTTTCTCTTTTCCCTTTCTGCCTTGCCCTGTAGTCTCTCAGACCGAGTTCCAAGCAGTCTTCTCACTGTTGAAGTACACACATTCATTCTCTCAGTATCTGAAGATATGAAAGCATCCTGTCACTGAAGCTGCTCTAAGTAACACCCGATTATCTCGGTCTGTTAAGATTTTGGGTCGATCAGGTCGGTGTCTGTAATATGTGCTTCCAATCTCAGTTTGCCTACGACTATGCATTGAATACAACCAAGTTGTGCCGCAATCTTCATGCTTGAGTAACCTTCTTCACGGAACACTAACAGGTGCACCTAGTCTTTGTAATGAAGTGATCTAATGATAAAATTTTGTGATAAATCCCTCAGTCTAACAAAAACTGTCACGAGTTTGCGCTAAAACTCTTCTCAAATTTATAAACGTTTACGCTGTTCTGTTCTTGGCCGGAAATTTTACATCTCTACTGGATAGAAATCACGGAGTTCAAAAAATCAGTACCAGACTAAATCTGACACAGTCAAAACATTCTACACAGACTAGATAATAGAGTTTACTCCAGACA